GAGGAAGACCTCCATGCCCAAGATGCCGTTGTTATTGCAACAACACTTGCGGTGGAGGCGGAGGCGGCGGCGGCGCAAGATGCTAAATATTGTCTTGTATTTCTGATGCTTGTGTGTGCGCGCGTGCACGTGTTTGGAATAAATAAGGGTGGAAGAGTTTGTGCTTCTAACTTATTTGCTAGCGCTTGTGAGACTTGTTGAGTGTTTCAAATGTTACTAGTTGAGGGGACGTGTGCTTGTCATCATGTATCCTACTCGAAATAAAGTCTTGTTTCTTATAATTGAAACTTGTTTGGTTCTATAGATTTTGAGTACTTTGATAGTTGTTTACTCAGATTTAGAACTAGTAATCAACTTAATTAATATAATATAATGAAGCGAATATATATGTTTCTTAACAAAGTAATTGAAGGATATCTTAAAGGTTTAAGTGTAAATTAGGGGTAAATTGATAACTATTTTCTCAACAATAACTATAAATGCGACTAGCTACCTCACAACTTTAATCTCCCTCTCATTAGATGATCAAGTAAGTTGTTCCCCTCTCGGCCATGGTAGAAATTATCTTGCTTAGAAATTTATTTGACAAAATTCGGACTTTGAAATTTTATGTATTTATTTTATTTTTTATATTGGTCTCATTTGAGATAACTTACATGATTAATTTGGAAGACTTATTCAAAATACACACATCTGGAGTGCTTAACCTACAATAGGGTGTAGCCATCTAGATTAATTAGGGAATTAGTAGGTGTACAATAGTAATTAATAATAAGTGGCCCTATTAAGAGTTTTTCTTGTATTTATCTTACTGATCTTAGTTCAACTCTGTGGTCAGTTTAGTATTTTTGAAGCTTAATTATAATAAGTTGCTTGTATAAGTTCGTTCACAAAAGTAATTATATAAGGTGCTAAAAAATAGCCGTTGGTAATCATATATCAAAACTTGCTTTCAAAAGCATGTAAGGTGTTTGATAAAACTGTTTTTAAAAATTAATATAAATGAAAATGACTAAAATAAACATAATTTTAGCATTATGTTTACTGGTAGTAAAGAAACATTAAAATATAAAAGGTATAGACGGTAAATAAATATAAAAATACGGAAGCTTGTTTAAAGGCATACTCGGGGTGCTTATAAAAGCAACTCCTAAAAACAGGAACAATTTCAATAAGAAAAATTCCTCAAGGACCCAAAATATGAGACCAATAGGAGAGACAAGTGAGGTGTCCCCCTCCTATTGAATAATGAGTTGGTCATCATTAATGATGGACAACTCATTATCTAATAGGAGGGGGACACCTCATTTGTCCTCCTCTATTGATCCCATATTTTGGGTCCCTGTAGCAAAGCTCTTTCAATAAGCATCCAAATTTACCTTTTATCAAAAGCATTATTGGGTGCTTTTTTAAAAAACAAACAAAAGCTCCTTATTGGATAAACTAAGTCTTTTGCATAACACCAAACTGGCCACGTATCCAGGTAGAGACTAAAACTATATTATATTCTAACATACTGCATAAACTAAGTCTTTTGCATCTATATAAATTTAGTCCCCAATCCCATCCTAATCTTCACAACTATCCACTAATTAATCTGTACATTAAAAAAAAAAAAATTCTTTTCTTGCTGTTGCAAGTATTTTTGCAAATATTTGCGGACGTTAAATTAAGGACAAATTTTCAAAACCAACATGTTTGCCAAAAAAATCCCAAAAAAGACCCTTTCAAACTTAATTTCAAAAACCGACCTAGTTGGGCTGAAACTGGGTCGGTTTTTGAAAAAAAAAGTTCCCAAACTTCACTGGAGTTGAAGTCCCGTGAAGTTTTGTTATATAAAAAACTTCATGAGACTTCAACTCCTGTGAAATTTGGGAATTTTTTTTTCCAAAAACCGACCCAGTTTCAGCCAACTGGGTCGGTTTTTAAAATTAAGTTTGCAATGAGTCTTTTTTTGAAAATAAAATTCAAAACAGGTCGGTTTTGAAAATTTATCCTTAAATTAACGGGGAAACTATTTGTTGGGTGCATGATTCCATGTAGTATATTGTCTTGTATTTCCAGTGTTTGTGTTTGTGTATGTATGCTAACATTATCTATATAATTTTAGTCTAGAAGCTAAGGTTTGAATTGTGATTTATATAATTTGTACATTAGTAATACGCATTACTTCAATTAATTAGTCTAGGTATACGATTGGACGAGCTAGGCGTTTACACTTGTTAATCCCTTATTTAATTTGTATTGTTTAATAGCTGGTGCTAATTAATTATGACCCTAATAGAAATCATTCCTGGTCATGATATGGAAAGTTCCTAGCATCGGTCGTTATATGATTAATTATGTTATTGCCTTACTTTGATCAAGTCTTTAACAGCTAATTAATTATCTCAAGCCATTCTTAATTCACTTCATTGTAAACGGCCATGTGAACTTAAGAAACTAAAATGTATTATGTTACATAAGTTAAACCTTTGCATCTATAAATAGAGTCCCTAATCTCATCCTTAATCTTCACAACTATCAACTAAAAATTTGTGGACCAAAAGTTTCTTGTTATATTTAGATTATTGAAATGGGAGGAAAAGGAGGAGGTGGCGGCGGCGGCGGCGGTGGTGGTGGAGGAGGAGGTGGTGGCGGTGGTGGAGGAGGTTGCGGTGGTGGAGGTGGCGGTGGTGGACGAATGTGCTAAATAATGAGGAAGCTCTTCATCACTTGCAAATTGCAATACAGCACTTTTATCGTGTGTATTTTATGCTTGTGTGTCTCTTATTTGCTTGTGTTTGTAATATCTCAGCATTTGGATACTTAATGTTGTAAATGGTCGTGTATGCTTCTCATGTAATGTACTTGAAATAAAGTTGTCTTTTTATTGTTGAAAATATATTTGATTTTGTCTTTTTTTTCCCCTTTAATTTCAATATATGTCGCAAGAAAATAATGACCTAACATCTTGTGTTTTTAGATAAACACGAGTTATATTTTGTGTGTGCGCGTGTCTGAAATAAATAAAAGGTTGAAGTGCTTGTTACTATTTTCGCTTATTTGCTATCATATATTTTGTAATATTTCAGTGTGTTTGATATTTAAATGTCGTAAGATGGGTGGAATATATCCCCTACTTGAAATAAAGTTGTGTTTTTATTGTTGAATACATATTTCGTTGTTATATATTTGGTTATGTTTTTTCACCTCTCAGTATTTACTAATTATTGTTATTAAGAAATTAAAAGGCCAATGATTTTGGGTCATTTTAAATTCATCTCCCTAATTAACCCACCATCTGAACACGGAGAGCAGCACACTTTGCGTTCATTGTATATTTAAAATCAGCAATTTAATAAAAACGGAAGAATAGTTGGGAAAATCTCACCGAAATTCAAAAACTTTTCATAAAACTTTGAAATCAATACAGTAATAAGGTAAGCAATTGTTAAAAGACTTCAGACGCGATTTTTCTCTCGAACCTTCGCATTAATGACGAACGTCATGACGTATACAAAGCTTTTTGTAAAACGCCTCAGGATATTAAATGTGCAATTTGAGTTTATGGATCATCCTGCTAATGATTATGAATCAAATAAAAATCTGAATATTGAACTTCTGAAGGCAGTACTAGTGATAACCAGCATGGATGAGAATGCGAACATGAACTGCAAGCATTTGAGTCTAGATTTTTTTCCATGAAACATCCGAAACCACATATCAGTACTAAATAAGAACATGAATTTTTATCATTTTAATCTTGCAAAGTTGCGAGCCAATGCGAAAATGATCTCTTCGCAAACCTTCGAACCAAGGCACTAAGGTAAGTAGGAGGTCGAAAACACTATGAAGGTGAGTTTTCACTTGAAGCTCCACATTTATAACAAACATCATGACATAAAACTTTCTTCAGAACCTTCACATTTGCAACATCATGCATTTTCCAGATCAAACACTCATAGGTACTATCCATTAAAACATGTGGTTAGTTAAAATCATCCCGATAAAATTCAATGTTTTGTTCACATCGTAACTCTGAAATGGAATGCATTTACTCAAAAAAAACACTTCAAACGTGATTCTCTCTCGAACCTTTGCATTGCATAAAGCTTTGTCTGGAAATTTCAAATAAAACCTTCGCAGCTATCTATAAAATCACAATGGTTATCAAGATAAACACAATTCGATCGAATCATTAGCATGATACTTTACATCTCATCAAATCTGAAAATGTAGTCAACCATCACAATTCCCCTATATATCTTCTTTTCTTTGCCAATGCAGATATCTCAATCTTAGTTTTCTATACTTGTACTATAACATCCATGCCTATGTTGCAAATGCAATTTGGTTGACATTTTCTTTGCCAATGCAGATATCTCAATCTTAGTTTTCTATACTTGTCCATTAACATCCATGCCTATGTTTAGCTCTCTCTTCTTTGTTGATGTTTACAAGAGTTCGCATTCTCTGCAAACAGAAGATCGAGATGAAGATCGACCTGAAGGAGACTGTCAACCAAATTACGGTCAGAAAAGATCAAATATGGGAGAAGACTTGGAAGGGTGTTGTAAGTTGTATGAGAGACTAAATACATGTAATACGTTCTTTTTGTTACAGAAAATGTGTGACGCATGAAAGAAGCCCGTTGTTATTTATTTATCTGACCCAAATATTTGATGTATACTTGTTCTTTACTTTGCTAATACGTCCAAGATTTTATTATGTATTTCCACAAAAAAAAAAAAAAACCAAATTTCATTCTGTTGTTTTTCCTCAGTCAGGTTGGAGGAGTTGTCTAAAGTTCAGTATTTATTTCGACTTTATAAGAAAAGCTAGCCATTTAATACAAATACGATACTGTGGCCTACAGTAAGGAGCGATACCAACGGAAATTTCATCTTAGAGCCAATTCGAGCTCTCCAATCAATATATATCTCAGTACTTCTGATGGATTACACAAATAAATCAGAGCAAGGGAATTCAAAGAATAACAACACGGTCTCTTTCGCTCCTCAAGAGTGCAAATACGTAGTCTTTATAAACGCATTTTCTGCCTACGAGTCATAGGCTGAATACTACAGATTCGCACTTCCACCGTTACAAGCCACAAACCACTAATAAAACATTCTACATAAAAAAGAATAGAACAAACGCTCGACGAAAAAACAAGACAGAAGAAGATTGAAAAAAGAATCACCAACGCCGTCGGTTAGCAGTAGAGTCAATGGCATCAAAATTCATCAGACTGGTCAGTAGATGTACAAATCTGCATACTGTATCCTATACCGATATAGAAGAAAGATCTTCGTACACGGTTCCAATCTCAGGCCTCTCTGGCGCTGATCTTATACACCTGAGAGCAACTTGCAGCATAGCTTCCAAAATCTTTGTAGATTCTTCAGAATTACCCGTTTCTTGAACACGCTTATCAAAGCACTCATAAGCGCGATTCTCGCTCGCCAATAGTCTCGCCCAATCAGTTAAATCTACTACTCCAGGATTCCCCGATACAATCTCTCCAGCATTTTTTCCAGTCAAGATTTCAAGTAAAATTACACCAAAAGCATATACATCGCTCTTCAGAGAAGGGCAGGGCTTAATTGTGTTCGCAAATTCCGGAGGGCGGTATCCAAGAGCACCGCATTCAGAAGCTTGGTCAGCCATTCCTGCTGATTCATTATTCTTGTGAGGACTGTAATCAGTGAGAAGGGTATTTATGTCCGTAGACTGGATTATGATGTTTGAGGATTTGAGATTTCCGTGGGGTATCGCTCTCTCGTTGTGCAAGTAGTTCAGGCAGGAAGCGACATTTACAGATATAGCAAGTCTCTGGCTCAGGGATAATGGTTGAAGCCCTCTTTGTTCAAACTCTGTAAACAGACAAAAACAAGAATTATGGTCACGTGCGGATTTGGTGTAGCAAAGGCATGAGATGAAATTTAGTCCCATGTTGGAAAAACAGCTAGATGTACATGGTTAATTATGTTTGGATCATAACTCAAATAGGGCAAATGTTTTTCAGTCAGTTTTGATCCATCTCGACGGAAGCTCATCATGTATCGTTGTGACCCAACACGAGCTGATGTTAACTTACGCTATAACAAGTAACATTTAGAAGGGACGCTAAAGGTAAATGACAGAGAAGAGCGCCAGGAGTTGGTAAAATTGAACATATAAGTTAATAATAAAATAATGGAAGTGTCCAAAACTTTCTTAACATGAATTTTATTCCACAAGGGAAAATTAACCAAGGAACAATGAAATCAATCCTTCTAGCATGTGAAACGGGCCATTTCACAGTAACATTGCTGGCAAGACCTTGATTGACAAAGGATCCTTGGTCCGTAATTGACACCATTTTGATTGGAAACGTTGGATAATGATGATTGGTTTTAAAATTATATATTTCGTTAGAGAACAACTATAAATCATCCCCTAATATGCGTTACAGATGGAGAGATTGTATTTAGTGATTTCTGCATGCATGTAGAATGGCCTACTTGCAAAATATTACTCTTTATTCCTACCTTCACAATGACTAGATGATCAATAAAAAGATCAGAAGATAAATTGGGTGTAAATGAAAATGTAAGATAACACTGAAGTTCAAAGAAGAATTAGAAAGATTCTTCCGAGTAACTAAGCAAGAAGGGGGAAAAAAAAAAGAAGTTAGCAAGAAATGATAGAGTGGCAGATTGTGTTGTCACGTATAATGAAGCTAGGTGTATGCGTACTATGGAAAGTAGCTGAGACTCATAAGAAAGTTTAGGAGGAAATACTTGAGAGCATGATATAATTTACAGAATAGAGTGAAAGTTCTAATGATCTAGATAAGATAACTGCCTGTGATATGTTGTCCATATCTGGCATTTTACCCTAACATATAGCAAATCATAAACAAAGTCCTAGAATTTAACATTAGAACTATGTAGCAAATAAATATTTCAGGTCTGAAAATCTATATAAAAAATTTGAACTTTTCTGTCCTTAATTACACTATCCATGAGACTATGAGTACAATGGATCCGTACATAAAAAATTGTTAGCTATTCCGACAATGTGGCGTTCACATAAATCATGGTAATATGAGGTACCTAACAACTATTTGAAACAGAGATTTAAGCCATGATGAAGTAATACATGCTCTAAGATAAAAGAACAAATCAAAGCATAACCAACAAAACAGAAAGAGAGAAGCAATCCCTACCACAGAGGTGTGCCGTCAAAGATGCTGCACCAATATAATAATCATATATGATAAGTCTCTCGTGTTCTTTTGGACCCCAATAAAAACCCCTTAGAGATACAATATTGGGATGCCTAATAGTCGCAAGTTTTTTTGCTTCCCTAGAGAATTCTTTCTTACTCTTTGAAATGCCTTCTCTTAGCCATTTCACAGTGATTATATGCCCACTGGCTAATGTCGCCTTATACGAAGTCCCATGACAACTTCTCCCAATAATTTCTGCAGGTGCACGAGAAAGTTCCTCTGCTGAAAATAGGATTGTATTGTCAAATAGATGCAAGTCACCTGCTAGTCTATCAGGAGAACATACATTGAGCACTGAAGGATTCTCAGATGAAGTAGGATCATTAGGAGGCATCATAAGAGACATTGAGGAATTTCCTTTAACTTTTGGTGGTGACCCATGAACGCCAGGTTCTTTAGATTCTCTCGAAATTGGCAAAGAAGCTGACCCTGATGGAAGCAAATGATCATGAGAAAAACTTGTATTCAAAGCAGGTGCCTTTGCATTTTTTCGTCTACCAAAAACGTTAGTGCCCGTAATTTGTTGTTGCTCAGTAGCATCGGCTTTGTGAGAAACCCTACGGTAAATAAGAATCGCCACAAGAACAAGGATAGCAATTGTGACAACACCCGCGATAAGACTATACATAATTATCCTTCTCATTCGATGACTATGCTTCTCGTTATCAAGATCAGGATTATTTGAAGGAGGTGAATTAGGGATAACCAGCAAGTTATTCCCTGGATGAAATGATGAAGTAGGAAATTTCAGCAAATTGTCAGGTACAGTGCCAGAAAGGTCATTGTATGAGACATTGAATTCCAGAAGGCCTTCAGGAAAATTGTCAGGTATGCTGCCTTCGAAGTGGTTATTAGACAAGTCAATGTATAGCAAGCTATGGATCGAGCCAATTTCTTTTGGGATCTTTCCTGAGATATTGTTCCTTCCGATATTAAACAATTTTAACTCAGTCATAGCACCAACGTTTTCGGGCAATGAACCGTTCAATGAGTTATTTGAAAGATCAAGAGAAGCCAGACTGAGACCTTGGCTGGGAAGTGAAGGGATATCTGAGGACATGGAGGCCGCTGAATTTGGAAATGGGATGTGTCCGTTAAAGCTATTTCCTGAAAGATTCAGATCCGTCAATCTCAATGATGTAAATAGAGTAGAAGGTAATATCCCATATAGTTGGTTGAGACTAAGATCAATGACATTTATCTCAGGATATGTCCCAATTACTGGTGGAAGTTCTCCAGATAGCAAGTTATTTGAAGCCTTAAAAGCCATCAGCCTCAGAAACTGAGATGTTTCATTCGGCAATGTTCCCGTCAATTTGTTTGAACTTAGATTGATAACTTCCACATAATTTCCCCAATTTCTAACATCTGAAAGATTCCCAGATAGCATGTTATTGCTAAAATCAACAGTGGCACAACTTCCAACTCTGGCAGGCAAAGAACCTGTCAGTTTGTTGGTGGAAAGATTGAGAGTCTTCAGAGAAGAGGAGGTTATGATCTTGATAGGACCTGCATTAAGTAAATCAACTTGAGATAACCTTGAAATAAGAGTTGCATGATATTACGTAGGAAAGAATTGCATGGTGAACTTCCAGATATCAAATATTGATAAATAGTCCAATTCTGTTTCTAAAATGTCTTGAAAAAGAGATGCTCAGCTGAACCAATTTTAATACGAATTTATTGTACATAGTATTGATATCAATACAACAATATGAAATTAAAAGAAGGGAATGCCAACAGCTTACGTAAATTTAACTAATCGTCTCTTACTGAAGGATAAATTTCTATGCACGACTGTGTTGCCAATGTGGGATAGATGTAGAAGTAATATATAAAATGATATTTGTCGTAATCGCATTAAAGTTATTACAACAAAATCATGCAATGGTAACACAACAAAAGTAAAATTTAAGTAGGCTAGAAATGAGAAAGACAGATATAAACAAAGTGTGCTAGTATAGAAAACTTTATCCTTGCACGCAAGCTTTCTGAAAAATATAAGAATCTGGAAGGATTAAGGCTATGTCACCAGTCTGTAGAAAAACTAGCCGAGGCTCAGGTAAGGAGGCAGAAAAGTGAATTAATTGACAATTTTTTCTTGGAGATGCCTACAACAACAATAGAGCAAAGCAATAGGAATCATAGTTTTAAAATATTATTTTTTTAAAAAAGAAAGGAATTTTATAATGAGCTTAGGTTTAGATGGTTTGTCTTGATCCTGATTGAAAACAATCCAAAATGGTGTCAAGTATCATACCACAGGTCATCAGTAAGAAGACCCCCTCCCCCATTTCATTCTAACATGACGAAGGAACTGATATTATATGTATTAGTGGTTTTAGACTAGACAAGATTGCTACTAAAGCTAGTTAACTTCACATTTTGCATCCAGTTTGCTCCAGCCATATAACATAGAGGAAGGGGTAAGGCGAAGGTATTGAAACATATATGCTGCATATAAAACCAAAAGAAAATTTTGGAACAAAGCTGCTAAAGATTCAAAAGTTTTAGAATGTCTTAGTCAAGAAATTTCTCACACACTATATGACCAAAAACAAGCAAACCAGTAATGCGTTTAATAAAGAGCCATTCAGAAAATCATCAACTATGCAATTATTTAATAGAGTTGTGTACTATGAATACTAGTCCATAAATGTAGGTGTCAGTATGTGCAGATACTTAACCAACCAGAAATAGCTTCAGGTGCAGGGCTTATATTTCAAGTAAACATTCTAGAGATTCAAAGAGAAGACTCTGATCTACAGCAGGCATCTTTTTTTGTAAAATTCTAATTCCACGAAACCAAACCAAAATCAGGAGTCTCCTTAAAGAACAATGGTCTATCAGGTGATAATATCAAACATACTGAGGATGTTGTAGAAGGGATTAAAACAAACTGAAGAAAGTTTCTGGCAACCAGGCCAGCGAGCATGCGTTTGCTCATACAATGTGAGATATTTTGTACCTAATTTTAGGATCTATCAAAAGGGTATTTTCCCTATTCAATCAATTAGCAAGTTCAGACACAACCTCCTCATATGCATCTCTCCATCCCAAGACAAAACTTTAATTGGTACTAAACCACAAGGAGAGTGACAAGGATCAATAATGCTATTGATTCTTCCCACTTAAACTTTGTATGTAGCCTATGAGGTTCAAGTTTTCCGGGGGCATTTACAACCAAACTTAGTCATACTATGGTATTACTAATCTACCAAATTATATATCTCAAGGGAAAAATATATATAGATTGAACAGAACATAACTGACAGACCTCAAGTTGGATTACCTGTAAGTTGATTGCAGCTCAGGTCTAGTTCAGCCAAGACCAATGAACTCTCCTTAAACAATGCCTCAGGCAAAGAGCCAGAAAGCTGATTATTTTCCAATCTTAGAACTTGAAGAGAAAACATAAAATTGAAGGATGGAACATTTCCACTAAGTTGATTAAAGCCGGCATCAAACACCTCCAAACTGTCAAAAACCGGAGCTGGATCTTTAGCGAATAGGTTGCCAGACAATTTATTGTGGCTGATATTTAAGTACTGCAACGAATCAATAATACTCGAATTGTCAGAAAGTGACTCAATAGAGCCAGATAACTGGTTCTGGCTGAGATCAACATAGACCACGCTCTGCAATTCACTAAGTATACCATCAAGGTCACCAGAAAGACTGTTGCTTCCCAAATCTAAGTACTTCAGCTTCTTCAAATTGCCAAACCCAGAAGGAACCGGACCTCTGAAATTGTTTGAAGACAGATTCAAAGACACCAAATTTCCAATTTTAGTCAAATCATCAGGTATCGACCCATCAAACGAGTTACCCGAGAGATCGAGAAACTGCAACGAACCAATAAGCGCAACTTCAGGAGATAACTTCCCATTGAAATAGTTATTTGACACTGACAAATTCTGAAGCATCTGCATTTTGGCAAGGGCAGCAAAATTGATGGTTCCAACCAATCCCATATCATTCAAATTGATCGAAGACACTCGGTCAACATTACACTGAACTCCATTCCATTTTACAGGACACCCACCAGAATCCTGCGAGTTAACTTGATCCCATGAATCCATAATGTTGCCTGACGGATCTTTTCGGATCCCTTTCTTGAATTCCAAGAGAGCATCTATATCTGAACTTGCTGCTGCAAGGCCTAGCCATAGGATGACTAACAAGATACTGAGCTGCATTCCCTCTTAATAAAATAAACAACCAAACTGCAAATAACATAAAATAACAGAACTTCAGACGGGGCTAAAAACCCAACCTTTACGCACTCTACACTGTAGATGCTGATTTTGACAGAAACCCAGATACAATGTCCCTAAAAAAGAGAATAAAATGAGATTTTGCACTTGACCCAGAAAAATTCAAGTCAACCCCAATTCACAGCAGTAAAGTATTTAGCATAATAACGCAAGAAAGAGGCCAACCAATGGAATTGAAATCTGAACAGACCCAGACGGAATTGAGACCAGAAATCACTCCAAAAATACCCAAATTGAGACTGTGAAGGACACAGCATTGGCAGTGAGAGGACAGAGAGGGGGTGGGAAAAAAAAGAACAGATCTTGGATGAGAGAGAGAACAAAGTGGGAAAGGGAGGAGAAAGGTGGAGGACGAAAAGGATTGGTTCCTTTTGGGAGATGGACAGCTGGGTTTTTTTTATTCGGGGGTAACAGCTTACATTCCCTCTTCTGCTGCTCCTCTCTCTCTCTCTCTCTCTCTCTCTCTCTCTCTCTCTACTTTTTTGTAGTGAGAGAAAGAGAGAAGGATCCAAAGGATGAAGAAGGTCCGATCTCTCTCTCTCTAATGAGGAATTGATGAGAGAGAGAGAACGAAGAAAGAGAAATGAAGTGGGGATTCTTTTGTTTCTCCTCTCTCTGATTCCCTCTCTGGCGATATTCAGAGAGACAGCTACAAGAGTGTCGTCTCCGTAGGGCCCCAAAGTCATCTACCAAAATAAGTTGTAGTAGGATACTACAAATTTATTCCTTTTTTTTTTTTTGGCAGTGGGTCAACTATTCCCTTATTATTAACATGATTATTTTCCTAAAATGTTTTAAGGGGATTTATGTAAATTTAAAGTCTTTTAGGATGGCATCCGAGCAATCTGTAGAATCGGCGAGAAATTTTGGATCAGAACAGGTTTGGAGGCGCATGAGTCGTTTTGGGTGCTGCGCGGTCGACCGCGGCGCAAGGTCGGTCGACCGCGAACGTGCACAAGCCAGAGTAGGAGTCTGGATTTGACGCGGTCGACCGCGAGACCCTGTAGGCGAATTTGGTCTCTGTCGCTTGATCGCGATCGACCGCGAACTTTGGGCGGTCGACCGCCAATCAGGTCAGGGCCTGTTTTGTGTTTCCTGTTCTTATTAGGTTTGGTGTTTGCTATAAATAGCAACATACAAATTAGGGTTTCTTTGGCTTTGTTTGGAGATTTGTTTGGGGATATTTGGAGTACAGAAAAAGGATAGTTTTTCTGAGCAATTGTTTGAGGGTTTATTTGGAGAGATTAAGAGATTTGTTGGTGAGATTAGTTGATTGGTTTGAGCGTTTTGTAATCCCAGTTTGTACTCTTCTTCTCCATTAGTGAAAACTCAATCTCCTTCTTGCCCCGTGGACGTAGGCAATTTTCCGAACCACATAAAACTATTGTGTTTGGATTTGTGTCGTTGTTTTGATTTGTTTGGCCTTTATCTCGACGTTTGTTTGATTTGGTTCTCGAAGCACGCCCGTTTGGTTGTCCTGCTTCCGCGCCGCGCACAACATAATCTAGACTCAAATTTGTCAGGCATATTTTAAGTCATATTGCAAAAAAGATGTCTTTCAATATATGTTTTTAAAGGGTTTTACCTCAGTGTCAGAGTAATTCGAGTTCAAATTTGTCGAATGTGCATTTTCCAAATCCTCGTTTTCATTTTGATACGCCGCTAAAAGCACAAATTATTTTAGAAAAATTTCTACCTCCTTTTGCTTTAGGGTATATGGAAAAATACTTTGTTAAGGTTAAACAAATACATTTTTTTAAAAAAAGTTGCATTTACCATTATTCCGTTTTCGATGGCAAAAGAACATATTTTGGGAGGGGTACATCAAATAAGAAAGATTTTCAGGATGTCATATCTAAGAAAACCTTTTCATTGATTACAATAAGTTTTTTTTCATAATTGTCCTCATTATTATACAATCTTTCAATGATGCTAGTCACACACTCACGTTATATGATGGCATATGCAAGATAAAAAAAAAAAAAAACCAATTTATATATGATTAAATTCCTGGTTCATGATCTCACCTTTTTTTTAGTACCTAATTAATCGTAGCGTATGCATACTAACCATGACAAATATATCAACCACTCCCTACTATATGATGGTAAAGTTGTGCTTGCACAGCTCTCAGAGTTTCTAATCATGGTTATTAATGAGTAAATAAACCAAATTTGTGTAGATCCAAGCATTTGGTTTAAGAAACGAAGGTTAATTAAAAACGAAGCAAAAAGAGACGAGCAAGCATGTTAACTTGAATCGTAAGGATTATGATTATGATTTGGTCCTCGCGATCATTATTATTTTCTTATTGGCGCTGATACCCAAGTAATTGTTTAGGGATTCGGATCCTCTCCATTACAAAAAAAATAGTGGAGGGACCACTACATAATCACAGCCATTGATTATCTAGTTGATGGTTATGATTTTTTCTTTTAGTGTAAATTAGGAATGAGTGCAATACACAGGGGTATGGTAAGTGTTGTATCATAACCGCCTACTAAATAATTAATGCTTGAGATTAAAAGTAGTGGTCCCTCCACTACTTTTTTGTAACGGAGAGGATCCAAATTCATTGTTTAGTACTTACTGCTGCACATGGTAACTTGTACGCTGTTGAGCTCCCAAAGAGACGGATTCACCCTCAATTTTTACAAATGCAGTCCGTATCGCCTTTATAAATGGTTCGAGGAGAGGACCCATATTATTATTATTTTTAGCTAATTTAGCAACTTACATAACTTCCTCAAGAATGAGCATTTAAGTCCATCCAAAACAAAATAACAAATAATAACATTGCTTTCTTTGTGGAGAAGTTGGTACAAGATAACATCACACCAACCTTTAGAGAGAGAGAATCTTTAGCTTTTGATGCTTTGCTCAGTCAACTACCACAAATATGTCCTCTGCCGGGAAAATTTGCAAAATAGTCCGTTTTACTAATTATTTAGCAAAATAGACTGTTTTGCTAAATAATTAGCAAAATAGACATCTTTTTGACCAAAAAGAGGTCTATTTTGCAAAACAGCTCAGAAAACATACGGGACTAGTAATCCCGTATGTTTTAATCACGGATTAGTGAACTTAAAAAATTTTACAAAATATTGAGATGAACTCAGAAAACATACGAGACTACTAGTCCCGTATGTTTTTGAGTCACTAATCCGTGATTAAGTTGGCTCTAAACATAAAGGACTAGTACTCCCGCATGTTTTCTGAGTCTTGTTTTTTAAAATCGACCTCTTTTTTTCAAAAGAGGTCTATTTTGCTAATTATTTAGCAAAACGGTCTATTTTGCTAAATAATTAGCAAAAATAGACTATTTTGCAAATTTTCCCGTCCTCTGCCTCCTCTTAGCTTTAAAAGTGGTGCAGGTGTATGATCCCCCAAAAATATATATATATATATATATAGACGAATTAGAAAACTACTGCAAAGTTTTATGTACGTAACCCCCTTATTTTAATCTGAACCCTCTTCACTTTGACCATTCAAATCATAATCATTTGTTTACAAAAAGCCAAGGATTAAAGCCTGTGAAGGTTACCCTCACCAAATGAAAAGAACCGTGATTGAGCCATTTCCTTAAAATTTAAGATTACAACACATACTTATTTGCTGGAGCAATGATTGCTTCAAATCTACTATGAGCTAATCCTCTTCCCCTTTGGCAGCATGCACAATGATTTAGGAGAATGCTTACAGATGACAGCTTGTGCATTGTCATTTTTCAGAGTTAAAAAGACTTGTAACCTTGATGGGTCGATCGATTTCCAACGCGAGTTAAATCTGTAATAGCGCTTAGCCAGACGTCTACCTTCTTTAGTAAAAAGCCTAGAGAAGTAATCAGTTTATTTGAGGTACAACCTAAAAAGCTAATACAACCTCGAACAGCAAGCCTAAATGACATCTTGTGCATTGCCATTTTTCAAAGTTAAAAAAGATTTCTAAAAATGATGGGTCAGTTTCCAACGCAAGTTACAACAAACTCGACGTCCTAAATACAAGAATGAAACGTCTGCCAAAAAAGCCTAGGCCACATTAACATCTACAGCCTCGTTACTAAATAACTAGAGACAAGCTGATTTACAAATCATTAACACCGCGATATGCAAGTGTGAACAAAATACACCCTGATCATAGTTCGTTTCTATCACAGGCCTGCGCAGGGGAGCTTGGCTCGTATCCGTGCACCCTGAATCGATATATGCATGTTAGTGCAGAGCTTCCATGGTTCGAGTCTATCTCAAGACGAACATTGTTGATGGGTGAGGCAATTCCTGGCTCAACGTTGAAGGTCTGAATATTGCTCTTCTCAAGGTCATAGGAGAATCTTGCGATGAGATATAATGTAGGTGGGTTTGATGTATCGATTATGGGCTCTCCAAACCAACCAAAAACCATACCATCCTTGGGGGCACTGGATCTGTCATACGCCACGCTCTGCAATAGAATTAATATATTGAGACGTTAGACTAAGCAAGAAAATACAAGTGTCACTTTTGGTCAAATTGCACCCAAAAAAAAAAGAAAAAGAAAAAGAATGAACCTAATAAATCATAGAAATCATCCTGAACTGTCAAAATTATACTAAACCGCCTCAAACCATTCGAAATTCTCGTAAACGGTGTTAACTAGTAGATTAAAAAGCCTACACTACCCTTTCTACTCTTTAACACATCCAAGAGGGTTATATATAATATATTTAGTAAAGATAAAATTGTCATCAGTGGGGTCATCAGTGGGGTTATTTGTGATATACAAAGTTCAGGAGGTTTTGTGGCTTATAATGATTCAAAAGAATCCACAAGCATGTGATAAGCATCAGTCCTTGAATCAAGACAATCAGACACCACCAACTCAGGTACGTCTCTCTTTATTGTTGTGTTAAAAACTCTGGTACCTATTTCTTTATTATTGTGTTGTGGCTTAAAAAAAACGTATGGGATATGGACTGAACTATGTAAACACGTGGCTTTTTCGACATTGATGTACAACATGCGTAGTGAGATCCAGGTTAGTCATCACTTATCCTCCCCGAGCTGTTCCGCTAAAATCAGAGAAACGAAATCCTGAATAAAGGACTAATTCTTTTTTTTTTTTTACTCAAAGCAAGAACACAGGTGAGGAGTTGCAGCAAAAAAGACATCAGGCTCAGACTATGCAGATATCTGGGGAAAAAGTGACAGTCCAAAGTTATAACTGAAGTGCAATAATGGAGTACCCAGAGATCTGGGAGGAATCAGTAGAAATAACTTGGACATCAATTGTCACTGATTAGTTATTGTTAGCATTTATAATAAGCATATAGCATAAACATTTTTATTATGGCCTTGGACTGTTGGACATGTGTTAGAACCCGACACTTACACATGTTGGGCACTCCTTAAATATGTGCAAAGTTACACAGTAATCTTCAATCTAGGGCGCTGATTGGACACCTAAGGGCTACAGGCACATGCTAAATATTTCTCATATACTTCTTTTAGTAACATTTCTCATAAACATATGAGTTCATTACATGTTTAGGGCATCCAGTTTCATTTATATATCAAAGAAGATACTTCAGTGAAAAAAGAGCATCAAAATTTTGAGAAAAACTACATTTTAAATATTTTATGTAAGTAGCCTACATCGAGTTATTATACAAAAAAAAAAAACATCAAATACTGTCTATTTTTGAAGGGCCACGAGTAAATTGTATTCCTAGATGACTGGTGGTTCGATAATCTGATAGCTCAGATCAGTAACTTTCAAACGGTTCTAAGCAAACAAAGAAGATTTATTGAATGTCTCCTTAGGGGGTGTTATTTATTGAGACAAATTGGGGCCAAGTGGGAAAATTGTTCCAACGGAACAAATTTATCACTGGGATATTTTGAATGGGGTAAAGTGGGATAATGGGACAATTTGAGCCTTTGATTTGACAATTCATATGAGATAATTGATGATGTGGCACCTTATTAACATATAATTTTATCTATTAATTAATTCTAAATTAACTTATCGAATTGGTTTAGTATATTATTATAATATAAACATTGTTTTACTTTAAATTAAAATAAAATATGTTGTACTATAATTACTAATTAATATTATTAATAATTATATTACATTATATAATATTATATTAGCATGCTATACTATATAATAATTAATATAATATAAGATCAAAATATTTAATATTATATTTTAACAATATAATATTTAATATAATACATTTTTTATTTATACAAAAATATAATATGTTATACTATAATTACTAATTAATATTATTAATTATTATATTATATTACATTATATTAGTATGCTACATTATATAATAATTGATATAATATATGAACAATATATATAATATAATATTTAATAATATTATTATTAATTTAATATATTTATAATTATAGTATCATAGGATATAATGTACGTATAAAGATTATATTATTTTACTTTATTCAATAATATTTTTTAAATATATATATATATATATATATATATATATATATTATATATATATATTATACATGAGATAATTGCAATAATATATATTAAAAGGTATCATGTTATAGTATAATACATTATTATTTCAAACTATAGTATATATATTAATCATATCTTAATATTTTATTAATATTAGTATATTATATATATATAATAGTATGTCTATATATAATAACTGATAAATATATAAACAGTGTATTAATCGTAATATCTAATTTAATATATTAGAACAGAGTCATAGGTTAAAAATTTACCGCATAAAATATTTAAAATATTTTATAATATAATATTATTTTAAAATCTATATTGTAATTAAAATATAGTTAATATTGATATCGATAATTACTATGATATATAAAATAATATCTCCAAATGTATTAATATATATAGTACTAATATAATTTATTATATTAATATAATATAATATAATATTAATTAATCACATAACATGATTTTATATATATTTATATTTTATACATTAATGTAATATACTAAATATTTATTACTTTTAATATTTATATTATATTACTTACTATATTATTTTATTGGTTTATATAATACACTAATATATAATTGCTACAATAAAATATCAACTACAATTAATATAATATATTATATAATAATATATGTTATTAAAATATTATATAATATTATAATAAATATGTTGTATTATTATATAATATAGTATGTGATATTGCATAATAATAATAATAAATATAATAAAATAAATTATACATATAAATTAAACTATAATAATATTTTATTTTATTACATGATAATATAATATAATTTATTGAATATATTATTGCTTTATATTTTATATATCATGTCATATATTTATAATATAATTAGCATGTATTAGTTAAGTAATACAAAAAGGTTTAAAAATTATCCCAATTGCCTTCAAAGTGGAACAAAATTATTCCAATATGGAGGATGGGTAAATTTTTACTATTGGGACAAAATTTTTGTATATGAGTGGGGTAATTTTATCCCAAATGGTGAAATTATCTCACAAATGTTCTAAAAAATCAATAACACAAAAAGATAATATCATTGTTCCATTGTCCAAATGAATAACACTATAAAATAGAATCCCTAAAATTATCAAATTATCCCCCCAAATGTCCCAATGAATAACCCCCCTTAGATGATTTGCTTTGACTGTATACAGTTCAATAAGAATATCTGCAACAAATTATTAATGAATATATGCCTAAACGTAAATACATCCAGACAACTTGGTGTTTTTACTAGTTTATCGTAAAATGCCTGCTACTACACCAAAACTTTGACGTTATAGTGAGGGTTTAGGGCTATAATTTTATATCTAACATACCCCTGTAGGTTGAGCGTCTTTTTTATGGGCCGGAATATGGAGTCACACAACAACATCAAATTTTTTTAAAATCCACTTTAAATTCATGGCCTATAGGATTTGAACCTGAGTTTCTCTGATACCATTTTAAAAGCCTTGTCATTGCACCAAAACTCCGTAGTTATATTGATAGTTGAGAGTTATAGTTTTATATTCTAACATGTCCCCACAAATTGAGACGCCCTTTTTATAGGCTGAAATCTGGACTCATGTAGCATTAACAACTTCTTTAGAATCCACATTAAATTTGTGACTGGTGGGAATTAAACCTAGGTTGCTTTGATACTATCTAAAAGTCTTTGCCACTGCACCTAAACTTTGAAGTTCGGGTTATATTTTTACATTCGGACAAATTTTTAAAATCACCCTTTTTGCCATTTTATACAGCAAAATCGACCCCATGTGAATATATTTAGCAAAATCGACCATTTTCTTCTGAAAATGGTCGATTTTGCTGACTGAAAAATTTTAAGATAAAATTGCACGGGACTAGCAGTCCCGTGCAATGGATTCCTTTACCCGTGGTATTTTTTTTTAAACAAACGAATCATTCATTCTCTCTCTTCATCTCATTCTTTCTTCTTCTCTCTCTCCTCCATTCCCCAAGAAATCCAACCCAGCTCCTCCACTCTCTCTTCGTTCTCCTCTCTCAACCCGCATCCCCAGCTCCTTGAGCTTCGCCCACAGCCCTCGAGCTCCAGCCGAGCCCATCGCCGCCTCGACCTCCACCTCAGCACTCTTCTCCGCCTCCTCCACCACCTCCAAACCCCCCACGCCGTCGAGCTCCGCCACCACCCCACCTCATCCTCAACCCCTCAACCCGAGCACCTCCCCCTCCGTTCTATTCTCCGACCACGATCACCACGCCGCCGTCGCCCACAACCAGCGACGCCACCAAGCTCCCCCACCACCCCACCTCATCCTCAACCCCTCAACCCGGTCGAGCACCTCCCCCTCCGTTCTATTCTCGAGGTTATGACGAGCATGGGCGTTCAGTTTCTTCTCGAGGCTCCTGTGGATCCAACTTCATCTTACTATATTTTAGGAGGGGTGGAGATGTTTTGAACCACGGACCCGGTGGCGTGTAGAGGAAAAGGAGGATGCACCAGTGATCATTTTCCTCTTACCACATAAGACCAATCACCTTCAACTACATAAAACACATATAAAAAAGATACAACAAATGTACATGTGTTTTACAAAGCAAGATAAACAAAGAAAAATGTACCATGGCTATCAAATGTCTCAGGCACTACACACAAGAATTGCTGAATAGAAGTTTCTGTCAAGATTATTGTTTGTATTGTCACAGGACTACTAAACAGCATTGAAAAGGATAATCTGATATAAACTGCTCTTCCAAGTTATGAAATATCCAACACGGGTTGCACAAAGCATATACAAACAAAAAATAAGCAAATTCAATCCTCCTTTTCCACC